TTTGAGATATATTGTAACCTATTGGCTAAATAGTAGTGATAGAAGTTGGGAAGTTCTAATCCTCCGGTATCTTTAGATTTCTGTAATGCTTTTAAGCTAATACGTGGAGTTTTGTTTTTCCAAAGGAATTTAGATATCAAAGAGTCCAGTGACTTAAACCATTCAGTAGAAGGTTTATTTGGAATCATTGAGAATAAATAGTTTATTCTCGGCAGGACCATCATTTTTACTGAGGCAACTCTTCCCATAAGTGATATGGGCAGAGATTTCCATCTAGTAAGATCATCTTCAATGTTCTTTAAAATTGGGATATGATTCAATTTTATTAAGTCTTCCAATCTAGGAGAAATATTAATGCCCAAGTATGTAATGTTACCTGATTGTAGTCGTTCATTGAGAGAAGTATTAAACACGCAGTTTATTGGAAGAGCTGTAGATTTTGACTATAAGATTCCCTGCTTTCTCCTCCAACTACCTCCACTCTGCAGCTATCAACTGATTGACTACACCTGTTTCCTGCCATCAAGACTCCACACCCCTGCTCTACTTAAGCCACAACCTGACGTCCAACCAACGCTCGAACATTAATTACCTCTGGTAAACTGTGACAGCCAGTATTATACTAGACTTTGACTCGTCTGCACTAACCTGTCTGTCTCCTCCCTGCTTGTCCAGCTCTGCTCCAGTCATCCTGCTTGTCGGACCTTCTCCTGCCTGCCTCTGGTTGCCAACCCTGCACATCAAAACCACACTGAAGGATAACACCCAGACCATTCCACCAACTCTCAGCAACAGTAGATACTTACCTCTTTGGACCTCCCGGATCTTGTGGACTCTTATCTTCAAGGATCGTCTGTACCCACGTTCACGACAGTAAGGCCTCCTTTATCCATCTTCAAATATTCTGAAAGGATCAACAGACTCCGTTACTCACCGCTCTCCCCTCTCTCTCCCACAGCCAAACACACCAACTAAGCTGTAAATAAACTACCTTTTTTTGTATTCCCTTGTCCTTGTGTTTTTGGTCTGCCATTTGGGGTCATTCTTATCAAACATCATGTTA